CAAAATACTTGCAAACCGAACCCAAGAACACATCAAAGATATTATCCACTATGACCAAGTAGGCTTCATCCCAGGTATGCAGGGGTGGTTCAATATACGGAAATCCATCAATGTGATCCACGATATTAACAAACTGAAAGAAAAAAAACCACATGATAATCTCCCTAGATGCTGAAAAAGCATTTGACAAAGTCCAACATCCATTCATGTTTAAAGTATTGGAGAGATCAGGGATACAAGGCACATACTTAAACATAGTAAAGGCGATATACAGCAAGCCTATAGCCAACATCAAACTGAACGGAGAGAAACTCAAAGTAATCCCACTGAAATCAGGGACAAGACAAGGCTGCCCACTTTCTCCATATCTCTTCAACATAGTGCTGGAAGTCCTTGCTAGAGCAATAAGACAGTCGAAGGAGATCAAGGGGATACAGATGGGAAAGGAAGAAGTCAAATTATCACTATTTGCAGATGATATGATAGTATACATGAGTGACCCCAAAAACTCTACCAGGGAACTCCCACAGCTGATAAACACCTTCAGCAAAGTGGCCGGATACAAAATTAACTGAAAAAAATCAGAAGCACCGCTGTATACCAAAGACAAAAGGGCTGAGAAAGAAATTAGAGAAACAACACCCTTTACAATAGACACAAATGACATAAAGTACCTTGGTGTAACCCTAACCAAGCAAGTCAAAGACTTGTATGAAAAAAATTTCAAGTCTCTGAAGAAAGAATTAGAGAAGATGGAAAGATCTCCCATGCTCATGGCTTGGCAGGATTAACATAGTAAAAATGGCCATCTTACCAAAAGCAATCTACAGATTTAATGCAATTCCCATCAAATTGCCAACATAATTCTTTACAGACCTGGAAAGAAAAATTCTCAACTTCGTATGGAATAACAAGCAACCAAGAATTTCTAAAACAATCCTCTACAATAAAAGATCTTCTGGAGGTATCTCCATCCCTGATCTCAAGCTGTACTATAGAGCAACAATTTTAAAAAACTGCATGGTACTGGCATAGAAACAGAATGGTGGATCAATGGAACCGAACAGAAGACCCTGAAATAAACCCACACACTTATGGACACCTGATCTTTGACAAAGATGCCAAAACCATACAATGGAAAAAAGATAGCATCTTCAACAAATGGTTCTGGTCCAACTGGATGTCTACATGTAGAAAATGAACATAGATCCATACTTATCACCTTGCACAAAACTGAAGTCCAAGTGGATCTAAGACCTCAACATAAAACCAGACACATTAAATCGGCTAGAAAAAAAAGTGGGGAATATCCTAGAACTCATTGGTACAGGAGAAAACTTCCTGAACAGAACACCAACAGCACAGGCTCTAAGAGCAACAATCAATAAATGGGACCTCATGAAATTGAAAAGCTTCTATAAAGCAAAGGACACCGTCATCAAAACAAAGTGACTGCCTATAGATTGGGTAAGAATCTTCACCAACCCTTTATCTGACAGAGGACTCATATCCAGTATATATAAAGAACTAAAGAAGCTGAAAAACAGTAAACCAAGTAATCCACTTAAAAAATGGGGAACAGAGCTAAAGAGAGAATTCTCTGTAGGGGAATATCGAATGGCAGAGAAGCACTTAAAGAAATGCTCAACCTCATTAGCCATTAGGGAAATGCAAATCAAAACAACCCTGAGATTTCACCTTACACCCATCAGAATGGCCAAGATGAAAAACTCAAGGGACAACACATGCTGGAGAGGTTGTGGAGAAAGGGGAACCCTTCTCCACTGCTGGTGGAAATGTAAACTGGTACAACCACTCTGGAAATCAATCTGGCGCTTTCTCAGACAACTAGGAATAGCGCTTCCTCAAGATCCAGCCATACCACTCCTAGGCATATAGCCAAAAGAGGCTCAAGTACACAAAAAGGACATTTGCTCAACCATGTTTGTAGCAGCTTTATTTGTAATAGCCAGAAGCTGGAAACAACCCAGATGCCCCTCAACTGAAGAATGGATGCAGAAACTGTGGTACATCTATACAATGAAGTATTACTTCATTGTAATGAAGTATTACTTCATTGTAATTACTTCAGCAATGAAAAATAAGGAAATCATGAAATTTGCAGGTAAATGGTGGGACCTGGAAAGGATCATCCTGAGTGAGTTGTCCCAGAAGTAAAAAGACACACATGGTATATACTCACTCATATAAACATACAACATAGAATAAACCCACTAAAATCTGAACATCTAAACAAACTAAGCAAAAGAGAGGACCCTAACTAAAAATGCTCAATCCCCACCCTGAAAGGCAAAGAGGATGGACATCAGAAGAAAAAGAAAACAGGAAACAACCTAGGAACCTGCCACAGAGGGCCTCGGAAAGCCTCTGCTCTGCAGATTGTCAAAGAAGATGCTGAGCCTGATGGCCAACTGACAGGCAGAGTGAATGGAATTTTATGTAAGAAGTGGGAAATAGTAAGAGCTGGAGAGGACAGGAACTCCACAAGGAGAGCAACAGAACAAGAAAATCTGAACACAGGGAACTTCCCAGAGACTCATACTCCAACCAAGGACTATCTGTGGAGATAACCTAGAACCCTGATAATGCAGTCACTTCTGATGAGAACTGATAGACTAAGATCAGAAAGAAGGAGAGGAGGACCTCCCCTATCAGTGGACTTGGGGAGGGGCATGCATGCAGAAAGGGGGGAGGGTGGGACCGGGAGGGGAGGAGGGAGGGACTTATGGGGGGGGGATACAAAATGAATAAAGTGTAATTAATAAAAGTTAAAAAAAATTAAAAAAAATAAAGTTATATACAGATACCTACTGCATTATCATGTAAACTTTAATTTTAATACTTCAGTTTCTTGGTGTGCAAGTAAAATGAAATATCTGTATGATATCAGAAATATAACTGTGGTTTTATCACTTTTCCTGTATCCAAACACTCTGGCGTAAAAGATGGTACTTTAAAAATTTCTTTTGTCTAAAATGAAGTCACCAGCACACCCCCAAACAATTCTTATCAATTTGTTTTCTTTTCCCTAGTACACCATTATTTTATATACCCTAAGATAGCTGCTGGCCCTCCTCTTTCCCAATGTATTCCAGCTTACACTTTTTTTTAAAAACACAAAACAAAACAAAACAGATTGTAACAACACCAAAAGGCCATTATTAACATCTTTCTTAGCTAATTAAAGAAATCATCTGAGACAGTCATTTTATTTAGTGATACTTGTCTTTTCCTGAGACTCTTTCTAAATTAGTTTTGAATAATAATGTAAGCATCTACTGTAAGTATTTTCTTAAAGTATTTCTTTTAGGAAAGGTCAGAATACCTGCAATATGTTGCGACTGTCCACAAGCAGACTCCCTCATTATTAGTGTCATAGGAACAATGTATTTACTACAGATGCTCTGTGCGCTATGGTTGTTCAGGACTGTACTTTACATCGGGATCCATTCCCATACTACCCTTTTTATGGGAAGGTAACTTTCATGAATTCTGACCTTGCTGTTCTACCCAAAGAATCATCATTACACCAAATTACAGATTCTCGCACTATATTCTAGAAATGCCATAGACTTACATTTTACATATGTGAATTTGAGTTTGGGAAAGATGTAAAGCTTGTTTCTAAATTTACTTATCTACTTGTATATGTCCTATTGTCTGAACAACATGTGGTAAAAAGGGTTTTTTTGTTCTATTCTACAGCCTTTGTCACTTTGCCAAAGACCACTTTGTTGTATTTGTGTGGGTCTATTTTTGTATTCTCAACTCTGTTCCATGATTCATTTGTCTACTCTGCAGATACCTAGCAATAACTCCTAAGCTTTCTTGTCATTTTATGTTGTTAGAATTTTTTTATTCTTTTGCCTTTCTGTAAAAGACTTAGAAACAGTTTCTATATCTATAATATAATTTCCTGAAATATTGACTGAGATTGTACTGGCACACAAATCCAAGTTGGGAAGCACTGACATCTTGAGAACAGTGAAGTGTCCTATCCATGAAAACAGACTGTTTCTCCACTTACTTTCTTTTCAATTTTGTACTGTAGAAACATTTTATTTGTTTTCTATTAGAAAAATCTATATATTTCATTTTGGGAGAAGATGCTCATGTAAATGCTATTGTATCTTAATTTCAAGTTCAACTTGTCCATTGTTGCTATAGAAGATAATAATTTCCTGTGTATTATCTTTATATCCTATCTTGTTCAATTTTATTGTTTTAGTTGTTCATTATTCCTTTAGATGTTTTTAACAGAAAATTATTATGCTATCTTAAACAAGGATAATTTTCTTTCCTCCCAGTAAGAATACATTTGACTTCCTTTTATTCTCTTACTGAACTAGCCAGTATTATAGGATGATGTTGAAAAGCATGAAGAAAAAAAAAAATCAACTTATTATGCCAGAGTAACAGTAGTTCAATTAAATTTCTTAGTAAATATACTTTTGAATTTTTTTCCCTCAGAGTCACCTAGCTTACTATTTACTTCCAACAATGTTAGCTCAGAGCTAATGTGATGCTACAACTTAACAGAATGCTCACACTTATAGACAATGTGAATTTAATGTTGAAAGTTATAATTAGCCATAAAACTGCATATAACTAATTTTAAAATTAGTCATTTCTTCTTTGTTTAATTCTAATTTCCATCTGATTTTTAACTCTATTTTATTTAGTGAAATCACATATGCTTTTAACCAAAACAAACAAACCAAAAACAAAACAACAACAAAACTAAAGAAGGAGTCTCTTTGATGATATGCAATAATAATCTTTCCGTATATTTGACAGGGAAAGTAAATTGCAAAAAGGGTAATAGAGGCTTAATTTCAATATAATTCAGACTTTTTAGAGGAGGGAAAAAGTAGAAAGTAAATGATTTTGTATTGCCTCAATCCACTGTTTTCTTGTACGACTGAAAACACTACTTCTTGTATTTTGTGAAAATAAAAGGTAATCAATTATACACTGACCTTGGACTCATCTAATCCAAGCTTCTTTAGAGACATTCTGACATAATCCAGAAAGGAAGAACATTTGGAATAAATTTTACCAACGTGCCGATCACTGCAAAACAAAAGTGAGTATCTTTTTAGTTCTTCTAATTTAAAGTGTGGATGGTTTTAAATTTCAACATGGAATATTTTAAAATACCTTCCATATATATTACATAAAATGCAGATGTGATAAAATGAAATAATACTTTTGTAACATCTGTAAATGACATATCAGGATCTGCTTCTGAGAATTCTTGGAATACACAGCAGTGGCAGATAATTTTCTGCACACAATACTATGTAAGATACGTTTCAAACTTATACTATTAAAAATCTCAGTTTAACGAGAAATATGTCCTCAAAAGTTTCCACTGTACTCAAAACACATTTTACTTTTCTTGGCTTGACATTACTTTGCACATTTCATTGCAACATGTTCTAACAGGGGCAATACTTCAGCAGCTTTTCAAGGGAGCTACCAAGTTATAATAGCCAACTGGGGTCTGACTATCAATTATGCCATGCAGATTTTATTACAATTTATACAAAGTATCATGAAATAGTTTTCAATTCAAATAATACTATGATAGTCTATCACATCTCTCAATTTTGGCTACAACTTAGGCATAATGTAAAAATCAGGGGCATAATCTAGATGGTATCAAAAGTGATCAATAAAATCCCATTTACTGATAAGAGAATATTTAATCCGTGATTAGACATTATATTCTATCCTACTTTTGCAATGTATTTTAGATTTCTTTATCTATACTTCAAATAGCAGACTCAATTCTTCTTCTATGTCATATATTTGTAATTCCAAATATTTCCTGAATTTTTTTTAAAATAACTGTTTGAGAATGCTATACATGGACAAATGCATATACTTCCATCAAAACTACCCCTATTTCTTCCTAATTCCTCCCCTTATCCTCTTTATCCTCCATCTCTTTTCCTTTACCACTTTTTGTGCTGTTTTATGAAACCCATAAAGTCCACTAAGTGCTGTGCATATGTGCATGGTACAGGATGATCTAATGAAGCAGGGGTAGGCCCTCAGCAGTCTAATAAAAACTGCCTCCCTGTCCTCCATTCTCCCTCAATTGCTAATAACTCCTGAGCTAGGGGTCAGATTCTGTAACCCCTCCCAATTCATGTTGGTAATCTGGCTAGTTTGATGCATTATGTGTGCAATCATAACTATGTGTTCAATGATGCTGTCATGTCTGGCAAATACAGCCTTAAAGTCCACTACCCTAGGCTTTTACAATTTTTTTTCACCATCTCTTCTGAAATGATTCCTGGACCAAAGGGTGAAAAGGCATACAGATGCCTCATTTAGAGCTAAGCACCACACAGTCTTATTCTCTGTTGGTTGCTTAGTTGTGGCTCTCCATATTAATCACCATCTACTGTAAAACGCAGCCTCTCTGATGAGGACTGAGAAATGTACTAAACTATGGGTATAAAGATAAGAACATGCGGGGGCGTGCATTGCTGTATTAGGTTGTCCCCTTGGATCTATGACCTGATCAGTTATGCAGTTTTGGCCAGTTAATACTTGTGGCATGGGCTTTAAATCCAGCCAGAATGTTGTTGGTTAGTTCCTTAACATCTGTGCCACTACCTCAGTGGACATACCTTGCCACGCCAGTTACTATCACAGTTCCTAATATTTACAAATAAATGAGACTTTTTATGATTTTTCTCTCCCATTTAAATTAAATGAACCTTCCAGAACCATGAAAATTACCAGTGAGGACAGAGCTTCCAGGTGGGCAGCAGTATAATTTCTCTACTGGGGTTTTTATTCAATGGCCCATGTTATGTGGGAGTGGGACTGGCCCCTTTTACAGGGTTTTCCACCATTTAAACTCTTACGTGCATACTATGTACTTTTGGAAGCATCTCCAGTAGTTTCTATAAGGCATTTCAAAGCTCTGTAGTGTCAGTTATCTCCCCAGTCTCTTGTCTCCCATCTCCCGCCCCATGACCTTTCCTGTCCCATTCCTTCTTTTTTCTCCATCATACCACCAGTGTTCTACCCCATCTTTGAAATCTTTCTTCATTTCTGTTTATATATCTTTTTAGAAGATTTTTTAAAAGAAGAATCGCTTTGTCAGATCTCTACCCCAAATGTACATAACTTTTAGATTAAAAAAAAAAATCCTCAGTTATACAAGCAGGACCCACATTTATACCAACATTTCCCCACCTTCTCACACACTGTTCATTACATTCTAGACTTTGGTTTCTCCTTTAAAACGACTGCTTACTGGTTTGGATCTTTGACCACACTTTTGCTTGTTTTACCTATGCACGCAGTCACTTCTGAATAGGTTAGGAGGTTCCCTACTCTCTTTAGCTATACTAGTCTTTCACATTGAAAAGCTCAGGTGTACCTATTCTTTTTTTGGTAAAGTAGTTAACAGTTTTCTTTTTCTGAATTTTAACAATGTACTTATTCTATAGCTTTTATTATCTTTTCATTCAATTTCTTATTTTACCACTCTCTTGAGTGAAAAGGAATTTGACAGATACAGGTGGAGGAAGCAGAAAACAACTTTTACAGGGTGTGTGCCCTTTTTCCATAGTAATACATCTTATGTGTAATAGATATTGATATAGTAGATAGGTACAGCTTAAAAATCACAGAATATTAGCTGAACTGAGTAGCCACCCAGAAAAGATGCCATTTAATACCAATTTCTGCTTTTCATGCTAAGAATGCTTGTAGGTATCCTCCCCACCCCCAAAGGGAAAAGCCATTAATTCTTTCCCTTGGTGCAAGGATTCTATTTGTTCTACAGTAGTCACTGTTCCCTTTGGAGTTCTTCAACAAAGAAAGCACCATAGATAAATATATAGTTTTCAATTATAGTAGTTCTACCATTTACTAGCTTCATAATAATACCAGTAATACCTAACTTTTAGAGAAACTGCAAAAATTACCATGGATAACACATTTACAGTTCTTAGAACGAGACATTAGCTCTTTCTATGCATACTATATTTTCATTTTCAAATAATTTATTTTGTGTGTGTGATCACGGGTGTGGTGCCTATGTGGAGGATAGTAGACAGCTTGCAAGAGCATGTATACTCTTTTCTACTATGTGGAGCTCAGGAACTGAATTCAGATAATTAGGTTTTGGAGCAAAGCACCAAAACCAGTGAGCCATCTCTCTGACTCCATTAAATAAAAAACCATTTCTGAATTCTTAAATTTGTGTGTGTGTGTGTGTGTGTGTGTGTGTGTGTGTGTGTGTGTGTGTGTGT